AAACATATATAGCCTATATATATACAGTACAATGACAAAATTGCATCAATTTTAATTCAAAAATAATTTAAAATTGATTAGTTTAATATGATAATTTAATCATTACTGTATATGATTTAGTAAATAAAACTTAAGAATTTTTTGCTTTAAAATATTATAAGATTAATATTCGAGAGAAAGACTTCAATCTACCAAACTCCACTTTGAAAAGTTCTTTGAAAAACGATAAGGTTTTGTAGAATGTATTTTTAGTTAATCACTGAACTTTAATTTAAACTCATATTACATGTAATTACATAGTTTAATTATATAACTTTGTTACTATGATATATAGTATAGTATTGCTTTCATTAAACGTAATAATATTTTGGTTAAGTCAAATTCCTGAAAATAATTAAAAACAATATTTAAAAAAGTTGAAAATTTGAATAAAACTTTAATAAATATTTTCAAATACGAATATATTCAAATGTTTTATTATTTAAAATTTTAATTTGCTATAAAAATAAAATTATATAATTCTTACTATTTATGGTTACAATATAAGTTATCTGAAAAATTTGAAGTTTCAAATCCGAATAGATTTAGAGGTAAACCTGCGACAAATGAATTGATAAAATGGAACGGTAAGTAATATCTATCTGGAAATAATACTTTTTTTTTCAATGAAATATGCAATATTTTATAATACACATTTTAATTAGTTAGTGAATAATATCAAACACTAACAACAGCTATAGTTACAATTCATTCTAAAATAAAAATATTTAACTACACTATATCTATTTCTAATATTCAATATCATCATAATTTAAAACTAAATATTCTCATGAGATATCCAATGCAAAAATTTCGTAACAGTCTGTCCATTAATTACGTGCACAGTTTTTAAGCCACTTTTGACTTTTTTCCTCCTGTTGAGTATAATGATGTACAGTACTGTACCGTACTTTTGGCAAATTCCTCCCCTTTAATTACGTATATAATAATTCATAGTTTATGGACCCCACCGATATTGAAGAAATAACTTTCTAAAGTTTTGCAAATCTTTATTAATAGTTTATTCACAATGTGACTAGTAAGTAGACTTGCAAGAACAAATTCGCATACCACTAATACCACTATGAAACGTCCACATAGACAATGCCTCGATCCCTCCATTCCTTTCATAAAGTACTTCTTTGTGCAGTATACTTTACACATATCCTAATTAATGAATGGCCCCTAATTTGTAAATTAGATTTTGAAAATAAAGTTTGTCAAACGTTTGTCACTTAAAAACCGTATGGAAAGGAACATTCACTAATTTTTTTGATTTTATTGCTCAGTTATCCAACTTAAAAATACTGAAATGTATATATTTTGGTGTTTAATCTAAGGATTGAATAAATACAAATATTTTACGTTCATGTTAAGAAATTAAGATTGTTTTAAAAATAAATGTCATATTCGTCACGTTTAATTTTTATTTTACTTATTCTTGACTATTCGCATTTTTCTTATTCTGGTATTTTTGAAACCGTGCCAGTAATTCGCATTTTTATAAAATTTTGTTATTTTTGATTAGCTGGCGATTTTTTAACCGATCTATATTTTTTTAAAATCACAATTAAATTACTTGAAAAAGAGCACTGTAATCGATTTTTTAATAACTTGATTCATCATATTGATATCTGCAAAAAAAAAATTACAATTTACAAAAAATATTATTGCATTTTATTATTTGTATCTAACACTTAATTAGGGGCCATTTTCCCATAGAAAATCCTCCCGGAAGGCAATTCCTCCTGGCAGATTGCCCATGTGTTACGTTTTGTTATCCTTTCAATCTAATCCATTTTATTACTATTATATTTTATAGATTAAAATTTTAACACGAAAAATTCGCATTTGAAAAGACAAGTTTCTAGTGCGAATTTTTCTCAAATCTTTTAAAAATAACTTATTACTGTTAAGAGATCAATTTTCACGCGGTTTCTTTAATCTCAAATGCATACAATACAGACGTATAAGTTATTTTGAGACTTATTGAAAATCAGCTCTTATTTTAAATTTAAGAAGTTTTAAATTACATATTTTAAAACTATGTTATTATAAATTAAGTCAGTTATATTTATTTTTATAGTCCCAATAATATTTATCTTAAAATTCTGTCATTTGAATAATTTAAATTTCACATTTATCATATTTAACACAAATTTGTAAAAAAAGTTTTAGGACTTATAAAAATCAGAGCTTAAGAGCTAAAACTATTTTATTCGTTTACATTATGAACTTAATTAAATCTCTAGTCCGAATATATTAAAACGTAGATTCTCTTGAATCAATATGAAAATATTTTAAAATTAAATTTAATAAAAAATATAAAATTATGCTACTATATTAATTTTTAACTTTTTTTCAGTAAAAAAAAAAGTCTAAAATTTTCTTACGAATAATGTCAATTCAATTTAATTTCCTATTCTCTAATGTAAATTATTTAAAGTTTAAATTTAAATTTATTTATTTTTAAATGTGTCTACCATTTTTACTATTATTCTATTTAAATAATTATTTAGCATTCTAGTTTATGTGCAATTTTTTCATCCGTTATCATTTATGTCGTTTTACGCAGAAATTTTAAAATTCGACGTTGAATAATTTTTTTCTTCCGTATATTGTTAAAAACGTATTTAAAATGTGATTATTTAAACATTATATTATTTCAAATTAAAAAATATGTATGCATATTGTTAAATCTAAATTACTGCTTCTACTAATAATTATTCCCTACTCTGAAACTTAAATTTCAAATTATACTCATTTGTTGCTTTTAAAATGTGATTGACATTGATTTTATATCATATTCTGATGAAATATTTAGTATCTCACTAGACAAAAATATTCAACATCAAAAAACATCAAAATTTATCATTATTACTTCCAATTTCATACCAATTATCGAATCATTATTTTATCTGCACGTAAAAATTCTCATACTAGAAGGGGAAAAAATTATTCCCACATATAAATTCATTTAAACTCATTACTATTTAGGTAACTCGTTATTAACTATATTCAAGCTTTTTTTAACTTAATTCCCTTTTATTGCCTCTTAATTTCCCCAATTTTTTGTTTTAATATTAATACTGTATAACCTATTATGGTCGTTACATTCATTGCATTACAATTAAAACCCATTATAAGTTATTCTAAATTCTTAACTAAAATTTATTCTATGTTGCTGAATATTATGAAATTAGATTTGTTAAATATCAATGTAATGTTTTGTTTTGAACTCCAAGAGGCGTTAAAAATTAAAATACAATATACTTTTTAATACAGTATATTAATTTTATATTCGGACCTATGGATTAAATTCATTAGCTACTTTCTAAGTTAATGAAATAATTTTAGCAATATTACTTCCCTGAATTCTAAGTTTTTATAATTAAAATATACAAAGTTTTGAACATATATTAAATACATAAAGGAAGTGATTTTTATAATATTCGTTTCAAAATTTGTAAACAAATTATGTAAGTGAATTCAATTAAAATAATTTCACGAGAATAATAGAAATAATAACTTAGTTATTATCATCAAATGTTTAAAATATATAATAAAATTTATTCAAATTTACAGCTGAAGGTAAGCTAATTTAAACGAACTTAAAATGTATTTTGCATTACATGCATTTGGAAATAGAGAAAATGAATGAAAGGTACTGTACAAGGCATCGTCTTGTACTTTTAATCATGTAGAATGATCAAAAGAAATAATTTGCAAATTTAGAAAATTGTGCAGATGATTTTCGTAATATAGAAAATACAGTATTAATAAATTGGTCTGGTTCGTTCGATTCGGTTTTACGAGATATAGCAACACAAAACTTGGCGGTCTGCCAAAAGAGATGCCTCCCGGGAAGATTTTAGTATAGTTGTACTGTACCGTACTTTTGGCAAATTCCTCCCCTTTAATTACGTATATAATAATTCATAGTTTATGGACCCCACCGATATTGAAGAAATAACTTTNATTTAACAAGCTGAAATAGTTTTTTTCAAATTCGTTACGTTATAATTGCACGTATTGTGTAATATAATCTTAAAACCTTAAAAATAATGATAATATAACTTTTATAAATTACTTTTATCTAAATCGAAAAAAAATTTAATAAAATTATTAAATGTTAATTAAAATATAAATTTAATAATGATTTTGATTGCAAATCAATCTATTTAATTTTATAGAATAATAATTTATGTACGAAAATCAATAGACAGATCATCTATTTAATGGTTGAAAATATGATAGGGCATATTAAATTTCTTAATATAAACGATTGGAATTCATTTATATTGATAAAATAGATTTTTAAAATATTATAATAAATTATAGTTTATTACTTGTTCTGTCATCTATATAAGAACATATTTATCATTACAGAGAATGACAAACTGACATTTAGATATTTAAAATGGAACTAGAAGTAGGATTAAAAACCGGAATTTTGCGATGAAAAATTAGATATCTACCAACGCTTTAACTTCATATAAATTTTAACATAGTTATGATTTTAACATTATTGTTCTACTTAAATATGAATATTATGTTTAATTCTCTTGTCGAATTATTTTTTATTAACTATATAGGCCTATATAAAATTTCTAAGAGATTTTGAAAAAAAACGGAATTTTTGTTTAAAAATACATTACAATATTCCATTCTTTTTCGGAAAAAAAATGCTGAATCTATAAAATAAAATCAGATAACAAACATTTCGTAAATTTTCTTGAAATTTCAACTTTTATTTTATATAATATTAAATATTATGTTTAAATAGAATATTTAAGTTCTTTTTGTTGATATAAAATTCTGTAAAGTATTATAAACAGGATATAAGTAGGCTAAAAATTGTAACTCTTCTCCCACATTGTAATAAACGCCCATTTATAATTTAAAATTAATTACTTAAATTAATAAAAAAATAAAATAATAACATGATTAAATCAGTTTTAAATACTATATTTAAATTTATAACCTAATTATAGGCTGATCGTTAAATTAAAAAGACTAGTCTGTAATTTTATATTATAATTTAATATTGAATTAGTTAAGCTGTGATTAAATACACATTATAATAGTTATTTTCAAATATTGCAATAGGTTTATAGATCAGTGCAATAATCATCATCACGTTTTAGCTGTTTCTTCAACTGTAATTTCAGAGATATAATCTTTCCGAGATAGCCTTGATCAAAGTATCATTATAATATAAAGAGTAAGTATAAAAAACAAGAACTTATTGTAATCATTATATTCTTTTTAAAAGACCAGGTGTTTTCTCTCTTCCGGCAATTAAAATTCTGTAAAAACTGCGATGATTTTTTGTTACTGATTTCTTTTCACCTTAACCTAATTTATAAGATTACAAATTGAAAAAATAAGTAATTCGCAATTCACTAGACAGAGAGGTCAATGTAACATCGTCTCGATAATTCTAGTTTATCAAATCAGAGCTTTTGTAGCCTCCGAGCAACATCTCACAATTAAGGCGAACTTCGAACAGGTTGTTGGAACTTCACTTACCTTGATGGTGATGTTCACTAACCTTGCCACCTGCATGTGTTGCGCATGCTCTTCAAGTAATGAGACAGTTCGCATTAACATTGTCGAAGCTACAAGTTTATAGTATCGCATGCTCTCCGCTTATTCTCCTGTCCTATTTATTTTCCTCTCTATAAGGAAGGCGTAAACAAATTCTTTACGGTGTTTTGACGTGAGTGAAAGCATTCGTTTATTGTGTTTCCCAAGGAGAAAGACACACACAAGCATGCAATTGGTAACGAAAGAAGTAGGTTTACGAACTGAGACTGTTTTGCCATATGAGATATGAGGTAAAAAGTTTTGCGATAATTAATTTTAATTAAAGTAACTTTTAAATATATTTCAAAATATTTCGAATTAAAGAAAAAATCTAAATTAAATCGTTTTGTAATTGTTTTTATAGAATATATAATCGTTATAACGAATACAGTAGCTATTATTATCGTATGTAGATCTATTATTTTTTATGTCACTAGGTCATAAAAACAATTCCATTTTAGATCTTTATTATTTATGCTCGAATAATTTAAAGATCGATACAGAAGGATTCAATAAATGTCAAGTTTTCTAAGTAGGTTGTAAACCCATCTTGAATCCCACAATTGTAGTTGTGAATGTAGGACTTATGTAAGTTAACTGAAATTATTCATCATTTTAAATTGTTTGGAAAAATAATTATTAACGCAATGTCACTTTATTTAATTACTTAATTTATTATAGAAAATATTATTTTTGCATTTTGCTATCTTTATTTTATTTTATATAGATTAATAGTTAAGATATTAGACAGAAGTAATTTACAATCAAAGTTTTAGACAACAGAAATTAATAAAGTACAAAATCAATTAAAAAGTCAAACAGTAGACAAAATATAAAACATTAAATGAAATGATTATATAAAAACCATTTATATAAATGACCATTTAACATTGTCCTTAAAATAAATTACGACAACTTTATGACATTAAGCCATAAATTTTGTAAACACAATTAAAAATATTGTAAGCTTTAAATAACACATTGTTTTATCAGACTTATTTAAGAAGATTTATTCTGTAATTTATTTCGTTCTTTACGTTTCAAATAGTCAAATTTATCTATTTGCTCTGACAACAATCATTAATGTTTTTTATACTTTTAAGAAAGGTAAGAGTTTAATAGAGTTTTATACACATGAGCGAACTTGGAATTACTCATAGTAATTACACAATCTTAATTATAGTATTACTTTTCCTACTTCAGTTTATTTGTAATTTTTTTATCCGACTTTCCCTAATGATGATTCTAATTTATTTCAAAACCCTATTTAATTCGGTATTGTAATCATTGCAATGTATTTCAGTTGAAAAAATGTGAAAAGCACGGGAGATAATTATAATTACAATAAATTTATAATAATAAACTAATTTTTTGAAAATTTCATAATTTAATCAGCCGAAAAATTGAATAATTTTAACATTATCTTCGATTGAATAAATTCACTAATTGGAAAAGTTTTTACTCTATTCTGTTAAATGAATAAAGTACCCGATTATTACTACGAACAAATTCATCATTTATTAAATTGATCCAGTTTCTGAACTTCAAATTAGACAAAAGTTATTACACTATTTTAGTCACAATAGAATTTTTCGATGCATTTATATTTATCTTTTATTGCAAGAACATCAAGAACATATACTTATTATTAAGAATGATTTCAATCTTAAAAAAATGAGAATTTAATAAATATAATGAATATAAATAAATAAATGATTCATAATTGAACTTGAAGTTTTAAAAATTTGCAAAGAATTTAAACTGTATAAAAAATTATAATTAATTTTTTTGTAAGTCTACATTATGTGAAAAATGTTTCGAGTAGATTCACTTTTTTCTTTATTCGTCATGTAATAAGATATAATTTTAAAACAAAATCTGGTATATTTGATAACTTTTAATAACTTTCTGATAAATAGCATTTTGTTTAGATTTTTACTAATGACAACCTTTTAGTTTTAAGTAGATTATAAACCATGTATAATTCCTTAATGTATTTTGGTTTACTTGTAAAATAGTTGACATCAGTTTTAGGAATATGAGCTGACAATTTATTCTTGAATTTATTTTATTTATCTGTATATTTATTTTAGTAATATTTACTGAATTATAATTCAATTTACACGCAAGATGAAATCATACGAAATAGAACTTCTGTAAATATTTACCAATATTAATGGTTTGGTAAGATAGTAGATTGCAAATTAAATTAATGAGGTTAATATATATANTATATATATTTCTAATAGGACGGTGCATTTCGTATAATTATAATATAAATATACGATAAAAATAGCTTAAGTTTTATATTTATTTATGAAAATTCTAAATCTTTATGAGAAAATTGAATCAACTTTTAAATATGATATATATTACCATTCGTTTTAATTCTGCTGCATTATTTTACGAATGTTTAGAGAGGAATATAATATATATATACATTATACATGCCTGACATGCCTGTAATAAAAAAGTTGCTGCTACCGTAAAACTCGCTTACTAAAATTATAAGATAATATATTATATGGCATCATTAAAAATTTACAATTCGTTTAATTTGTTGTTACTGAACTTCAAAACTAAAACCAGTCTTTCCTAATCTCACAAAACATCTACTTAAAAAGTTATGTTTCATATTTTCAATCGTAATTAAAGTTACAGTTGCACTTTACAGCTAGAGGGTTAGATCAGAATGCCTGGGAGGCAAAAGCATTCAGCTATTAAAACTATTCAATGAACATTGTAAAATATGAAATATGAAATTGACAGAAAGCTTACATCTTTCTATAGAAGCCTATATGAAGACAAAGCTAAGGATCTGTTTTTTATTTGTGATAAATAAGAAGTAAATTAAGGATTTAAATTAAGATATTAAGAAGTAAATTAATATATAGAATATTTAAAATATTTTTTGAAAAGACTTTGCTAATTTGTTTAAAAATATAAACTCATATTTATCATTACACAAGATATCAATTTTAATTAATTACGATTTATTTAATTCAAAATCAATTAAACAGATGTAAATTTCTCATAACAGATCTAGAAATAAAAACATTTATTCGATAATATTTTAAAATTCTAATAGTTTTTTTTTTAAATTCAAAACTCACTTAATGAACAGAATGAAGTTTTTGGTCCATAATGATCCTTTTAGGACGAGGTGCATTTAACCTATCGGCTTCCACCTGTACAACAACAATGAAATGAATAAATTAATTACACTTAATCCTTGATTAACATTATAGGTTTGTTCCGTATAAACCGAAATTTTATAAATCGAGACTAACATTTGTATAGGAAGTATAAAAATAATTTCCAATATTCCAATTTTTATTAACCAATATAAAATGAACGAAGACGAAATTTCTTTCTGTATCTTCTTCACTTGTTCATAAAGAAACAATTTTCTTCTTCTTTTTATTTGAAAGTCTTATATCTCTTCTATTACAAACTTCTTCGATCCAGTTCTCTATAAGAATAGACGAGACAATATATAATGAAATTAAAACAGATGAAATGCTAAATAATCAAACGAGTGCTCTTAAAAAGAATTAAAATTAATAATTTTAATTTTTTTAAGAAATAAAATTACTGAATTTAAATATCCCTAACTTTTAGAATAGTTTATAATTTGTAATATAAATTTCAGATTGTAAAGTATAAAAATAAATGAATATTAACTTGCCATTTCAAAATTATAAACAATTGATTAAAATATTTATATCTTTTCTGATTGTTTTATGTTGCTAAATAAACATTTTTTGACTGTTTGTAAACACCTTCATTCAATAATTATACTTTAGTTATTCTTCATTTCATTCATTGAGAGGTTCTTGAACTCTTAAAAAAAAAGTGATAGTATTTAATCATCTCTAAGATAAAGAACTACAGACTTCCTCCTTATTTTAAAAGAAACCATTATTAACAATAAATATCTTGGTATAAGAGAGCTATTGCAATTATATTAGATAAAATATCAATAAGATTTTATTTTTTACAATTTAATCTTTTATAGGGTGTACTATAAAAAATTCTAATTAGTGAAATAAAATTTTATTTCAACTAGTTTTTTAAAAGTTTTTTTGAGTTAAATTTGAATTTTCGTTACGGTACGAAAACACGTAATAGTACTTTTAATAAGATTCAAATGACTTTTTGTGAATGTTTTGTAGATATATTTACTGAAAAGATATAATTCTAATTTGTTCATATCGTGTCACGATCATGACGGATGTTTACGATTGAATGATCCTGGTATATGAATAATACTACAGTATATTAAGGTCGAACTTAATATGTTGACAATGAAATAAAACATTCCAGCTATAAATTAAATATATCCATTGTGTTTTATTAAAAAAAATTTTTAATGGGTTAATTATTAACTGAACTAGAATTTATAATATCGTATAATAATATTTAAAGTTAATAAGTTTACAATAAAAATATTTATTTGTTATCTACCAATATATGTAAATTATTATTCAAAATTATTATTTTGAATAATAATTACTATACGTACAGTACATATTTATGTATTAAGTCCGCATTAAACATTTATAAAATATATATAATGTTATGTATTATGAAAAAATAATAATATAATAAAATAAAACTAGTTATATTTCTATTTTTTAAATTTATTCATCTACAAAGTATATAAAGCAATAAATTATATTTAGTTTTAGTTTATTTATTTTAAAAATTATTATATATGCATAATATTTATTAGTTTATCTTGTATAATTAATACAACGCCAAAATAAAAGTCGTCATATTACTTGTGTTTTAGGTTAAATTTTTATGCTCTACATCCCATCATAGTTTTGACCAGGAAGTGTGACAATAATTCTTTGTACTGTACCTCTTTTTTAATTTATTGAATGGCATTATAGAAATGAAAAATTTAGCCTTCATAATTTATTTCCGTAATTTCTGAATTAAGATGTTTCTTTTGAGAATAATCAATCCCTCTCGGACTAAAACAAATGTATTCTTTGATATTTTTAAATTTATAAAATTAACATTACATTGTTTCTATTTTAATTTTTTTAATGTTTTGTATTCTATAAAATTGATGTAAAGATCTTGAAACTGTTTTATATCTTAGAGATAATATCTTTTATATCTTACTAAAAATTATTAAAAATCTTGCAAAATATAAAAATAGAATCATAATTTTTTGAATAAAAATATATTATTTATTTATATTTAACTTTAAAAAGTTATTTAATATGTTTACATGCTT